TCAACGATGGAAGCATAACATTGTAAATTGTAAATTATTTTACTGAATACATGTCCTGAGCGGCAATTCAACGAGCTGGCCAAAGCGAGCGAGAGAGAAACGGGAGCAATAGAGAGGCGGAATTTTCACACAGAGACCGATGGTACAATGCGAACAAAGGCCGGGACCAATGACATATACGATCAATAAAACCACGGAACCGCTGCACAAATCTCGAATCTAAAGCGATTTGATGTGGACAATGGGCAAAATTAATAGGAAAATCAATGAATGCGGCCGCCCCAGCCATTACGCACATCCATACAAACAACATGGCTATATCGTAAAACATTGTATGTTGCAAGTCTCGTTAGACATATTTGTGTGTTGTTCGAGTTATCTCTAAATTGATTATTTGTGTCGGATTTGTTGAACTGCATGTTAGACACCAAATGCATTTGCATTCATACGAGAAAGGCTATTGGGGAGAGAAAATGCGACACACACACTATTTTCCATGCCCAAAAATTAAATGCTCAGCAAATAATTCATTTTGGATGAGGACGTTACATGAACCGCATTCGCAAATATCCTGTTGTTATATTAATTATATTTTCGCCTCAGCACACACAAAAAAATGGTCACATTTTGAAAAATGGGCACAACCAAAATTGTGCCAGAATTGCGAAATTACGGTCGGGATTTTATTTTGGATTTATTCAACAATTCGCATTTATTTTGACAAGAATAAAAATGGGCTGCACCTGAACAATGTGTTTTGACATGAGATTTGAAGCGTCAACACGAGTAATTCGTTTTCTGCAATGCCGATCAAATGAAATGAGATGGATTGTTCAATCGACTGTTGATGCCACATTTTAAATTAATTTATTCACGAAGCGAGTCCATCGCGCGTTTTTTTTTTTTTCATTAAGCTAATTATTTATCGAACAATTAAGCCGGAAAAAAAGACGAAACCAAAAAAATGGCCAGGGTATGGGTGATAATGGATTTTGATGCTGCTGTTGTTGTTTCTGCTAGTCAATCACATAACTACAATAATGCAAACCAGTTAATTTGAGTGAAAAACGCGAGCGAGCGCGCGCGGTTGTTGCGGCTGCTGGTTTATTTTATTTCGTTGTATATATCGATTTTTGCTTTCATGTAGCCAATTGATAAAATATCATTGCGAAGCAGCCAGACGAATTAATCACAGATTTTAACGTAATAAATCCATGAATGGTTACGCAATATGCTTTCTGTTTTCCATCAAACAATGTTCACACACAGACACACAAAAAAATTACACAAATAAATTGAATGCAGTGCTTCTGCTGTTGCTGTTGTTTTTTTTGCTTGTAATTTATTGAAAATCGTGTTTTTAATTGAGTAGATAATCGAAAATGAAAACGGAGAGCAACGATAATTCATCTGAAAATTTCAGGAAAAAAAAACACTGAGCGGAATCAATGGCAAAGAACGAGATAACTTTTTATCGTTCGCTTTGTCAATGATTTTGTCATTAAAATGTCTCTTCTTCTGCATTTCCTCTACATCCCGTTGGTTCTACTCCAGTACCTCGCTCTCTCTCTCTCTCTCTCTCTCTCTCTCTCTCTCTCTCTCTGAGAGAGAAGAACAGAGAGATGTTTTTGTTCCTGGCTCTGTCTATGTCTCATTTTCTCTATGTTTCTCTATCGTTTCTATCGCTCTTTCAGTTCGTTATGCGCTACACACACCGTGTAATTGTTTATAAAAAAAATGGAGACCACTCGATTAATCTCCACCGATAAAAATTAAGAAAAATGTGTGAAACGAAAATTAAAACGAAGAGATAACATGCGGCGAAGGGATTATACATAACTTTTTTTTCATGTTAAATGAACCAAGTGACATTCATTATAATTTAAAATGTTTGAAAATGACAAACACATACACGCGCATTCGTTGTGTGCGCGCCGCGCTCACGCTCGTGTCACTGGAGCCAAAGAAATTTCGCATCGTGCACGGCTGGATATGTGCCATCGCATTACATGCTCAGCACGCGGAATTATAGCGACATGAACCCACCATCATTACAACCAACACAAATGGCAACATGAAGCAGCAACAGTAATGCCATCACTGTTGAGTTTCATTAAGCCAACGAACAGAACTGTCATCGTGAATCCAAAGCAGTTAGTTTTGATCCAAGGAAGGAGGTTGGGTGCGCACAGAGAAAAAAAACGCACACGATGAACACGATGGTAACAACGAGAAGTGGGAAAGTTCAACATTTGCCGCAAAGTCAGCGACTGAAAATCGCACACAATACGGTTCAACAAAAGTATATTTTCATTAAAATGAATAGCAAAAAAGGGAGATCGAGAGAAAGAGAGAGACGAACTGCCAACGAGTGACGAGTGGAAGAAGTAGAACGAGTGTGTGTGTGTGTGTGTGTGTGTGAGAGAGAGAGAGAGAGAAGTGAAACGAGTGAAGGAAGAGAAAAAAAGTAGAACGATAAACTGCATTTTCACTGCGAACAACGACACACAGCATGGTAAATTGTGGAGAAAGAAACGAGCACCATCGTCAACGACGAAAACAAATTATAATGTTTGAACAGAGCTCCCTGTCTCACTCACTCTCTCACACATGAGCGCAATCGTAAAGCTCGTTAAACTTTTTTAATTTTATCCGAGTGCACACAGAAATCTCTTATGCGCTTAATGCACAACATACACTTTCGCTTCGTCAACATCCAAAATATGATTATGGTTGTTTTGTGCGGGTTGCACACAATTCTCGGTTTCATTTAGAGTCATACAAGGAGTGAGTGAAAGGGTATGTATGTGTGTGTGTGTGTGTGTGCGAAAACGAGCGACATCAACTGGAGTCCGTTCACTATGAAGATCCATATAATCAGCCAACATATCCACATTCAGTGAAATATTTTTTGATTATAAAAACATTTAAAACTTTCAAATTATACCCTTTGGATGCCTTCGAATGTCATTCGACCCGCCGTCCGCACAAACTTCCCAATGAATGACAACGGCAACAGCTTTGAAGTTTGAATTTGTGAAAACGTTTTTCGTGTTATTTTTTCCCCCTTTCAATTTCGGTGTATCACAAGTCAAAACACATCAGTGTGTCGAATATTTTGCGTCGTTGAAAGTTCTAGGAATTTAAATCTTTGGGCTTAGGTCATGCCATGGAAAAGAACCGATTCACTGTTCATATATAAAATCATTTGGCACCGATATTTCAACATAGATAGAAAAACCCAGTTTATTTTGATGATTTTATGTAAAAAAAATAATTGTTTTTCTTCGCCTTTGTATTTCTGCATTTAATCTGCCCCAAAATGGACGAGTGGCTCGAACAATCTTTTAAAAAATTATGATGATTACACAACCTGAACCAGCTTTGATTGGTTCACAACACAATTTTAATGACTTTTATTCTCTGTCTGTCTTTTGTTTGCAAAGCTTATGAAACGATGCCGTGCAACATGCAGTCGCACCACCGTCAGTTTGATATGGAACATTTCTTCATTTCATTGCCTGGATTTAAACATTTTTTTTTGCTTTCTGCGTCGCTGTCGCTTGTAACCTGTAATTCCTGGTGTTTATGCCGCTATGTGCGGTGTGCATGTGCATACAATGCACATCTGCTTGCTGCACGCTCACTCACAATGACGACGACGCTGACAATGATAATAATGATGTGACACTAAGTGAAATGAACTTTGTGAGATAATTTTCATTAGAATATAAACAACTGAAAAGCGTTTAACATTATCAATTGTTCTCCACCGGAAGGAGAATAGAAGAGGCGACAATTTACGATCTGTCACTTTAATGTGGATATTTTTTTTACGATTACACCGCAATAAAATTGCGTGTATTCTGCATATGAGGTATAGCGTGAGAAGAGGGTGACTGCGTCCAACGACATGGTAAACATTGTAACATGAATGCACGGGTAATTTTAATCACGTTTAATGACCGCATTTAATTGAACGTGCGCGCGGTCGCATCGGGCGCTAACTTTTACAATTTTTAGCACAACAATAAAACAGTTCCTTCACCATGTTTGCACCAACTAACCACTCTGTATTACTTTGGCATGAGTGAACAAAGCTTTTTCTCTCTTCTTTTTTTTTCTTCTTTTATCACGGATTTGTTCCCCCTTTTTTTGTTCGTATTTTTATGACATATTTCAAACGAGAACATGTTGATTTTTACAATTCGAATGCAGTTTTAGTTTGGTCAGCCGAATGCGGGTTGTCTGCCAGATAAATTTTATGAGTGGCGCTTGCTGTGCACACGTTCTTGAAAAAAAAAAACCATTACAGCATTCCTTGTGTCCAATCGTAAAAAAGCAGCAGCATCTAGGACAATTGAACAGGTGAAACACAAACAACAGCAGCAGCAGCAGCAGCTTGGGAAAAAGTTTATTGGATCGATATAAAGTTGGCAAACTCACATGTAGTTCTCTCATTTAATTGCTTAAATTACGGAGCCAGTGGAAATGAATGCAGCAGCACGAACACAAAAATAACCATGAGAGAGAGAGAGAGAGAGTAAAAGATAGCCGTTACATCGAAAAAATGGGCCACACACAGAATTGGGAGCGAGAAAAAAAGTTCGGTGTGACATATTCAACAGCCAGGCAATAAGTAGCACACATAAAAGTTTCTAGAAATTATTTCCGTGTAGTGCATGCAATATGGAACTGCACTGAAAAACGCAGTTTCTCTTTGTTTGCAAGCGAAACGCAATGGCGTCATTATGGTGGAACAAAAGATTCGCCAACTATTTTTGTCTGCTGCTGCTGCTTGTGTCGCTGTTTTTATTTCCCCTTTTTCTTTATTACTATGATATTCAACTTCATGTGCTCAATTGCAGACAATAGATTTTTCCACAACTCCACCATTAAAAATGCACAACCTGAACACACGCCACCTGAAAATCGTCCTGTAAAATGCTTCGGTGGCTTCAACAGTGGGAAACAAACAATTTTCTACGGTATTCACTTACCTTGCGCCCACCAATAAACTGTTTCCATCACGCAACACCAATCGAAAGTAGTCAACGACTGTGTCATTTCCTTGGAATTTCATTATGTCCTCTGAACCTGTCAACGAATAAAAAAACGCAAGAAAAAGAATTAATTATGATTTACCACTTGGAACATACCGCAATGCTGCTACAATGTTAATTTTTTTCATGCAGAACAATAAAAAGAAATAAAATCAAACAAGATGAACAATGAATTGCAACGCTTAAAATTTAGTACTCATTGTAAAAAAACATAGAAACTCGTATATTCGAGCACAAGAGAGGTGTTGACAACGAGGTTAAAAACGACTCATTCAATGGTGTTTATTGTACGTTTTTTTTCGGTGAATTCAGGCCAACCGCTAACACATTATAAAATGGGAAAAATGAATGCTTCATATCAAATTTGATGGTTTAATTTTTTTAGATTCGTTAACTCATTCACACCCGAAAAAAATTTAATTGCTTTCTTTTGCTCTCATTTGAAATCTCTCTCATTGTTGATGAAAACGAGAGCGTGAGTTCCGCTTTTGTTCAATGGATACGGTTCCACATCGTAACGTGCCAGATGAAAATGTGTTTTTCACTTGTTCTGCTTATTATTGGTGTCTGAGTGTGGGTTTTCTCTGTTTCTAATTAAAAAGTCCAATCTTGATTTATCAACAATAGATTCCGTCCCCACGTGATTTTCTCTTCCACCCATTCCTCCCTGTGCAACATGAATCATGTACAAACATAAATAAAATGGCTAGAAAAACACAAGGTCTAATACATCATACCGAAGCGTATTAATCGTGTAACCACGCCATTTTCTTCTCACCTCGCCACATCGCTGCTCAAAATGAACGAGCTTGCTGGCGAACCGGGACGACATCGAATATCCAAGCTGTTGCTTGGTGAAGCTCTGCTCATGTCGGTATCGTGTTCAACTTTTATTATTGCGCCCGTCGATGCGGAAGGCTTGAAATTGCTACCACATTGTTTTTAATATTTGTGTTCTAATTTCAAAACAAAGGCGACCTCGTGAGCAGAATTCTGCAAACGGTTAATTCATCCCTATCTTACCAACGGATGACATATTGCGAAATGGGTGAAACACTGAAAACCGGAGCATCGACTTGCTTTCTTTCTGCTGGTTCTTTTTTTTTTAAGTGTGCTCGTGGCAAACATAATTCATTCAGTGAGAAAGAACCGACGAATGCGCGCGCCCGCGCTCAATGGAGAACATTTATTGAAATAAGGGGGAAAGAGAGGAAAATAAGCGCAAAACAGCAGCTTTGCCACACAGGACAAAGCACATTTTTTTCTCTCTTTTTTTCTCGATTTCAAAAGGATAAACTTTTCGCCTCTCATAAACCATTCAGAGAACCAAGCAAAGCTATACACTTTTTTTTCCCTGTGTACATGATATAGAATCGTATCGCAAAAAAAAAATGGTTGAACTTAAGAGTGAAAGTAAAAGGAATGCGGTACCTGATAGGGAGAGAAAGAATGAGGGAGAGCGAACAGCGAAAAAAGTTGTTGTAATATGGATGTTTTATGCTTGTTTGTGTGGAAAAAGAAAGCTATTTGAGCATTGGCCATGAGTTTTATACAATAAACACAGGACACACTGCAGCTCATATAAATTTTTCATCGTCGCAATAAATCGAATGGAGGTGTGCAGTCATAATAATCATCCGATGAACAGAAAAGCCATAAACCAATGTGGTTTTTTTCTCTTCACATCACGTTTTCAAACGTGTGCGCCATCAAATCGACCGAGACCATAAAGACTTTTTTCTTCGTTTTCATTTCGGTCAAAGTCGTCAACGGGAGAGAGAGAGAAAAACGAGCATTGCCCACAATTTATTCTAATTGATATAATATCAGTCTAAGATTTTTGCTCATTTATTTTTGTTTTAGATCGGCTCGACGGAGACTGGGTTCGGCCCAAGACACAAAGACGCTACCGATTTTACGAGTTAAAACAGGTAAAGTATTTGCTTGTGATGGATTGTCGAAAAAGGATGAAGCCGTATTTTCTGCTTTCTTTTGCAAACATTCTATTCGAGATGGAAGGGTTTCAGAGCATTTACTTGCACGCACATACATAAAGCTGCATACGTTGGGAGAAAAAAAGCGGATCCGTTTTTTACTAAGGCTACAGAAAACAGCGGGCAATATATTTTATTGGAAAATGTTTTCTTTATGTTTTTGGATTTACATATATTTCATTTTTCTGCAATATTTGTTTTGGTCTCAAGCTCCGTTCCGTTTACGATACACCACTCACTTGTAAACAAATTGAAAACATATGCCCGAAATGTTTCCCGAGAAAAACGAAGAATGTTTGTTGTTGCTTCTTTCTCTCTTCCTCTCGCTCTCCCTCTGTTGAAATTTCAATTCGGTTTTGAGTTCGGTGTCGCGGTATGGGGTCCGAAGCATACCAGAGGCATACGGTAAAGGACATACACCGAGTGGAGCAAAGAGAATTACTATTTGTTTTTACGATTTATGCAATACAAAATGGAACTTGTTTGTCTGGAACAACATTGAGGAGCAGGTAGCGTTTACAAAGGGCCACAATATGTACGCGTGTGTGTATGTGTGAGTGAGCATGTATGGCGTCGAAGTTGAACCGACAAGTAAATCGTCGAATTTGTGTATCGACAAAAAAGCTAGGATAAATAATGGTTCGCTGTAATCTTTAAAAAATTCAGTGATTCAAAAGCGTACACATGATGGGTGATGGTTCACCTTGCAACCGGTCCTTAAGGACTCAATTGGGCACACCACATACCGATCGGAACAATACACGGCGAAAAATGTGAATAATGTGAAATCTATAAAGATTCCTTACAGTGTTTTTCTTCATTTCTCCTTCTTTGTCGCTCTTACACTCGCACTCCCTTGCTCTAGCGTCGATTTCAAACGGAACACCTCGTTCTGTTTGTTTTTCTTTCTTCTCTCGAGTGTAATGGAAAACTGTGTATGTTTTTTTGTTGCTGATGATGGCGTGCAAATAATGCGTTGAATGACGTCGATGTTGGTTCCCGTGTTTCATGTTAATCTGGACAAAAGCGTTCATTCGGGAGTCATGTGTCGCAGCAATAATGGTTACATATTGTATTGCATGCCAGGTGGTACTAACGCAATTTTCCAAACTTGTTGTAGCCATTTTTTCTCACTCCCGATTTTCGATCGCAAGGTGGTGTGTGTGTATAGCAATGCAATGTGCTTGTACAGCACAATCCAAACACAGTACACAGTACACACGACGCGTTCATGTCACTTGACCCCACGCAATTTGTGCACAAATGCAAAAATTTTTTTTTGCTCTCTGGTTCGAACACGGTTTTCTTACGTTTTTACCAAAAATGACTCTGTGGTCTGGAATTATTCAACAACGAAAAGCATGCAGAGTGAGAGGAAGAGAAAGAGAAGGAGAAAAAAGCGTGGAAACAATCGGCCGGAATAAATGCAGAATAAGCAAATGTTAGAAGAAGAATGGCTATGAATAAATTACACTCGGAAAACATAATGTCTGCTGCTACCACACTCACACTCACACACGACGCAATAACAACGAAAAACTCGAATTATTTTAGTTGGTTTGTACACATAGCTCTCATTCTATGTGTGTGTTTGGTTTGGTTTGGCTTGGCCACGTGTAATGTATGACTGCGGCAAACGATAAATACGTGAATACACACAGAAAAAAGTACAACAATGAACCACGAACGAAATCTCTGTTAGATGAGTGCAAAGTTTGCAAACACGCTGAAATGATGGCGCAAAAAGAAACGAATAGGAAATTACATTGTGTCCAATTGAAGTGTCTCTTTCATACATCTTTAAACAAACATCGAGGAAGCCATGAATGTTATATGCATGTACCCAGAAAGCCAATGAACGTATTGCGCGCCACACACTCTTTCCACACAATGCAAAGTCAAGTTCTTGGCTTTTCTGTTTGCTTGATATGTTTGCAACTGTACTTACTGCCAACGCACAGTGGTGTCGACTCTGTCTGCCGTTCAGCCACTTCAATTTTTGTTCATTTTTTCCTCTCGGTTCTTCAACTCAATCGCCACTAAAACTGTCTACGACAAACTGAATTGTGAAAAATGGGATTATGCTCAAGCATTTCTTTTAATATTTAAAATTACACGCTGAAAACTCAGTGCTTGTGATTTCGCTTGAAATTGATGGATAATTCGATTAAAAAAGGTAGGACACAGCTGAAAGTATCTATTTTAATACGTAGACGTTTTTTCGATGCAAATTGAACCAAATTAAAGTTACTTGTTGTTGTCCTTCAGCATACGCAGTATACCTTACCTTCTGCACTCTCATCCGATCGAACGTCCGTTGACGTTGATTCGCTTTACATGGAAACGAATTTTTAGTCACCTAAATTATCGAAGAGTTCCAATTAATCTTAACCCATTTAAATGAATAAAGCGAATGACAGTGCAGTTCATTTATCGGTCAATAGATTCATTGGTTGTTTGGATGAAATGGTGAATAGGCTCAATAAACTATTCCGAATTTAAGTGACAAAGTTATTTTGGGTTTTTCGAAAATTGTCAACTTACCGCTGCTAGTATTTTGAAAACCGATTTCGGTTTGAAGAGCTTAAACCCCAAATCTATTTTAAGCCCGATGAAAGTGAGAGAGGGAGAGAGAGAGAGCAAAATGGGTTTTCCGCATTTCGAATCTCGATAAAATATGCACGGATTCAAATACGATATAATCAACGTGAAGTATTAACTTTTCTTCAATGTAACAACTAGTGCTACCGAAAGATCCCGAAACAACTTTATAATTCACTGCCGAAATCCAACCACAAAGAAGTGCCACCGACAATCGACCGAAAAAATAGATGTGGTGTGACTTTTTTTCTGCTCGAATGTATTTAATTCGGTCGACGGTAATTTCTGTGTGATACGAAGAGATAGAGCGAGAGGGTAAAGCCGAGATAGATAGAGAGAGAGAGAGAGATAGAGAGACAGATAGAGCGAAAGAGTGATGGTTAATGTTTGATGTTGTGCTTTGTCAGTGTAATTTTATCGATTGTTCTGAATGAGCTGG